ATTTTTGGTTATGAATAGGGAGCTCAAGGGCGAAAGACTTTTTCCCTTAATAAAGTGACTTAAAGTGACTAAACACGCTTGTTGGTATAACGGTAGGTACATATTCTCATTGTCACATACTGATCCCCACTGTTTTAGCATTACACGGTTGTCTTCCTGTTATATAATATTTTGACTGCTTCGAGCTCATTATCAGCTAGCTGAGTCATCACTCGCCATTGTATAGACCTCCGACCTGTACTCTTGTACTTGCATAACTTCTGGGTGGGATAGTCCCACGCCGATCCAAGTATACAAGTTACAAAGTCTTTGGAGGCCCTTAAATTTCACATTAAGCCAAACTCTTCGCAGCTCTAAACCAGTTTTAATTTGAGAGTGTAGAACTAGAATCTTCGGCCCAACCAAAGCCTTACAAGAAGTCGCAGTTTTCCACATTTGTTTGTTTCTTTAGCAAGGAATGTAGAAAGTACAAATGTTTTTCGCATTTCGACGGACTTTTTGGGTGGGGGGTTCGTTGGTGTTTCTGTCGCAATTTTAATAATATAACTGCATAGGTACCACAGTTTTATGTAAAAAATTGTCACTCTGCTTCTAGAATCCAGTCTAACGAATGGAAAAATTTCGCAAAACATTTAGCGTGCGCAAAAAGAAGCCTGACCTCGGTGACTCTTCGAAACCCCAAGTATGGATTGAAGACGAAAAGAAAATCAAGGAAGGTTCCTGCAGCTTTCACGTTAAGGTTTGGGAATTCTATTTTAACGCTTTAGTATCTTGGGTGCATTGAAGTTTTTGAGTCACGTGGAATGCAGGTTTGCGAAGAGGCGATAAAGGCGTTGCGAAAGTCGAAGGTAAGCTAGTTTCTGGCCTTATATTCTTCTAAAGAAAAAAAGCCAGCGCGCAATTTTATACGTTAGTGGCGATGCCTTGCGCGTGTCAGACGAGATTAGTCAGGTATACCTCTCGTTTCCGTCACACCCTCTTTAGCATTTGATTGTTGATCAAACTATTGAAAAGGTATCATTTTGTGCACCTGACCGCGGCCATGAAAAAGGATTTGCTTACATTTGTCGAGATGGTGCAACTCGCCGGTGGATGTGTCACGCGTTTCTTGCTGTTAAGGAGTCGGTACGTTCGAATATTTTGTGTTCACACGATCCAACATAATCTCCATTCTAGTGTCTTTTATATCCGCTTTAAAAGTTGATATTAGCTTTTATATTACCGTTATTGTATAGGAATACCAACAAAGTTTCCTTCTGCTTAATTTCTTCGTTTCTTTTCTGGAGCTTTTATTGTATAACTCAAGCATTATGGTCCGACTACCAATCACTTGGCATGATTTTTACCGTGACAGGTTGACATCTTCCAGCTGATTGCGTTTTTGGCATATATTTTTATGGACTAATTGTTTTCTTATCGTTCGCAATACTAGATCCACTGCACACATTGTTGTTAATTAGTGGACACTACTGTAGTCCCAAAAATTATATGTATACCCGATTGCAACAGACAAGACGACCAGCCAGTGACTTACCGTTAGAGCATTGGACTTGTACCTAGCAGGTCGGGTTGCAACATTTGTAGTTGCATATGTCCGGCTGGTAACGGCTAATATGTCAGAACTAACCATTTCAATATCCCTTGTCTTTGGTTGTATTCCACTCTGATCAAATCTTAAATTGTTTCACACTGCTGTTACCAAAAGATTTGGGCTTTTCCACTGGGGAGGATTTTATTCATAGACTCGGAGGTCCAACCATTACGTCGTATACAAAAATCTGAAACGCACTGACTCTTAAAAGGCCAGCAAGACAACTTCTTTTGGATCATGTGTTGATCGTCACAGGGTTCCCTGGACCAGCAGGCGTGCTCATGCCGTTGTGATGCACCAGTGTGAGTGAGAAGGGCGGGTGAATTCGGAGAAGGCAGACTTAGACAGCTGTTGTAATTTCTATTCATTTACGAGCATCGTTGGTATATAAAAACAAGGGCTCTGGTCGTGATCTCCAACTAGCCCAGTTCTCGAACCATCGTCAGTATTTGTTGAATGTAGAGTTTTTATTGTGAACATTGAAAATTCACTGGCTGTTCAACGTAGCGGAAATGATTTCAGGTGCATTTCCAGGTGTACACGTCCATATTATGTGGAGTGCATTAACGAGAAGCCATAAGATTAGGAAGACGCCTAGGCTTTGCATTGTTTACGATTGTTTTCTGGATGTATATTCCATCACCGGGATGCACTAATTGGGTCTGTGGTAAGCAGGACTTTTAAAATTGAATAGATTGTTGCGAGATGAGGATTAGATGAATAAACCTGCGACCTGGCTGCTACCACCACTTTATTCGCTATTTTTTGTCGAGGAATATACACAGCAAAATCTTCGCATTTGCATGTAAAATCTTTTAATATGTTCTAATACGTATGCAATTTTACTAGGTGTTGCCTCCCGTTATAACACTTACTTATCAGATATACGGACAGTTAATTAAATCACCTTTATGGTCTTGTGAAAGGCTAGTCTAGTGTTCAGAGCACGTTGCCTTTCTGTTTGACCAACAAAGCGTAACCTTGACCAGCAAGAAAACGTCGTCTTTCTCCGTTGTTTTGACCATTTTTGCAGTTGAGTTGAGTTGATTTTCAATCTGAAGATTTCACAGTGTCTCGTGAGCCTTGTATCTAAAAGGGAATTACCCATTTCCCCAAAACCAGTGTTTTATATAAAGTTGTTCCACATTTGATGGATTGAAATGGTCAACCATTGAGACTTTCATTTGTCTCATTCGAGATGCGGACGCCGTCTCCTGTGGAAA